TGTAGTAGATATGCGTGAAACCAATAAAATAGGCCGAAATGTCAATAAAAAACTTACGTCGGGGTCAGGAGGTAAGTAAACAAATTGGAACAGCCAAACGCTCAACCGGAAGTAGAAATGAAAAAAGTGAAAATGAACATCGAAATTGACGATTTTGCAATATTCTTTTGAGTTTTCATGTTCGAATCGTAATATAGACCTCAGAGCAGGGCTACTAGTTTCAAATACACCCCTTAGGTCTAGGCACAAAAGCTTTCGAGCCCCTCACTCCCTTCGGTCGTTCGGGGTACAGAAAATGTTTGTGCCTAGACCCTGCGGGGTGTATTTGAAACTAGTAGCCCTGCTCTTCAGTGTATATTTCTTAAATAATCATTGCAATTAATTTTCTTTGGTTTTCATAGGAACTGATACAGTAAAACCTCTGTGATGGAACACCTCTCTGTAAGGAACATCTGTATAAAAAAGGAACAATTTTGGTCAGTGCTGAGAGTGTTCCATATACACAAGTTTTACTGTATTCATTTTACAATCATTGTTACTCCACAATTCCAGGTATCATGATACCATCGAGTGTTATGACGAAGAAAAAGATGCTTGGGAGATTGTGGGGGAGATGCCAACAAGTCGCAGCTGGTTAAGCTGTGTCGCTATGACAATAAGAAAAGATCGCAGAATGAAAGATGCTCCAATCACACATACTGCATGTATCGTATAGCAGTCTGTCTCTTATGTGTTGTATTTAATAGCAGTGTATCTCTGACTTGAATAGTAGGGGATCCCTTGCATTGAAAAGCAGCCAGTGTCTTCTTATCTATCTGCTATTAAAGAGGATCATAAATGACACTGTTTATTTGTGTGCCATTGAAAAGTATTATACGCAGGGGTTAGTATTTGGTACAATTGTAACTTACTATTCCGAGAAAACCATTGACTACTTTTTATGAACAATGACTTGCGACCAAATCATAAGTTACGACTGTTCCAAAAACTGACCCTAGTGTTTTATCCATTATATCCTATTTTCTTTTTCAAAGCTTTCTCAGATTGTTATACAAATTGTATTGTGACAGTTTGAGTAAGAGACTTTGCTACATGTTTTAGGAACTAACTGGATAGTACAAGAGACTTGTATGTGTTAAAGGACACTTTCAACAGTCCTATTCAAAGTTAATTCTTATGTGATATCTATTCTGAAAAATGGAAGAAACAGTTAAGGTGTTTTTGGTATAACTGTACATTTCCTCAAAACGTTTTGTATTCTACCTTAACATGCATTGTATAGTCTAGTAAATATTAGCTGGAAGATATGAAAAGTATTCACTTATTTCATCAGTTATTTGGTAATTGTAGTAACGAAAATTGCAAAATAATATGTGTGATACAAATGTACCTACTGAACAGAAGGACATAATTTGTAAGGATCCAGTCTGAGTGTATGTCTAGATAAAGTTTACTGTAGAAACATTTAATTAATGGCTCCTGTTTTAATTTAGTGGAATGAAAAAATCTGCCAATTTAAAGATCCGCCAATTTTCAGATATATCTTGGAAAATCCAAATGTAAATTGAGATTGCTTCGTTGGAACTGAACTAAGATTTGAATGTCAGTGCTATACCCATTTTTGTTCACTCGGCTCGCGTTGGTCGAACACAGTAAAGACCGGAGTGTGCAAAGATGGCTTTACCAAGACTTCTTAAGCTAAATTCTCAACCCTCCAAATTAGATAGTCGCTAGCATTTGAAATTGAACAAATCCGCCAAATTAAGCAGAGCTAATTAAGTGTTTCTACAATACAGTAAAACCTGTCTAATCTTGAATGCCTCTAGGACCAGCAAAAAGTGATTGTATAAGTTGGTGTTCACATTTCAAGGTTTCTTAATATGCAAGTCAATCAGTCAATAGGAGAGAACAAAATTTGGACTGAGAAAAAGTGTTCACATTGAGAGGTGTTCAGATATACAGGTTTTACTGTAATTTACTTTGCATAATAATAGAACATGGAACTATGGATCTAGTGAAAAATGTATGTTATATAATGTATAGTGTTTCATGTATTGTTAGTACATGTACAGCTTGAAAAAATGTACATATACGAGGGGTGATTCAAAAGTAATGGACAAAATTGTATAGGCATACTAAATCTCACCCAATCAGTCTAATTTTTTCACAGGAAATAGATCAATCAATTCTCTACTTTGTGCCGAATTCTCATTTTAATGCATTTGAAATTGTTTCAGCTATGCATAACCATGTTAACAAGGGTAAGCATGGGTGGAATTGGTTTTTTAATGATAATTGAATGTTTTTGTCATTTTTGCTTGATTTCGTTTTAATGACTCAATTACCACACATGATATGTCTAACAAGCATGGTAATGTAATTGTCAAGCAAGACTCACATGCCCATGTGTTTGCTGTTGAGTTCTAAATTCAGCAACCAATTGTGCTATGACATCACAATGATATTTCTAAGAATGATGAGTCACAGTGAGTCAGAAAGTAGATCAGACTCTTAGACTCACACACATCCAAGAAATGTCTACTTTACAACAAATCAAAGTTAAGCAAAGGGTTGTTATTGAATATTTGGTAGCTACTGGAGAGACAAGGCAGGCAGTTGTCAAGAAAATAAAAGAGACACATGGAGACAAGGCCTTGTCAAGGCAAGCCATTGAGCGATGGTACAAACACTTTAGTGAAGGGGATACGAGAGTCTTAGATCTAAAGCGATCTGGAAGGCCCAAGACAATATCAATTTATTTCGATTATTTTTTGTATAACGCATGGAAAGTAACTTTAAAAATTGAGCAATGTCATTAGTGTTGTGATAATAACGTCCCTTATACCTATTTATTACAGGTCATGTAGACCATGGGCATGTGAGTCTTGCTTGACAATTGCATTACCATGCTTGTTAGACATATCATGTGTGGTAATTGAGTCATTAAAACGAAATCAAGCAAAAATGACAAAAACATTCAATTATCATTAAAAAACCAATTCCACCCATGCTTACCCTTGTTACCATGGTTACGCATAGCTGAAACAATTTCAAATGCATTTAAATGAGAATTCGACACAAAGTAGAGAATTGATTGATCTATTCACTGTGAAAAAATTAGACTGATTGGGTGAAATTTAGTATGCCTATAAAATTTTGTCCATTACTTTTGAATCACCCCTCGTATGTATGCACTATTCAATTGAATACAATTATATGCCTACTTTTTCTAATAGGTTGATTTTGCTTTTTGAGCAAGCTTTAAAGGGTTCCGATAAGCTTCCCGTATAAAATGAAAATCTCCCTTTTATAAATGTGTGACGATCTATACTGTACCAATGTTATAAAAAAGTAAGAGGTGTTGACACAACGACCTCGAGCCTTTGAACCCTTGAGTATTATTCCGGGATCGAGCCTTTTATACTAAATGGTGAGCACACAAACGAGCGTTCAATTTGCTAAACGATATGCGTCACCCTTTAAGTTGAAGATGGATACTTTGGGGTCATTCAGATCTTTTCATTTCTTTCTCCTGTTCAGAGCCTAAAGTACTAGAGTCTGATTCTCAGAGTATCCGAGTCTTTCATGAGTTTAATGAAACAGTAGATCTCATGTCAAATTAATAATTCTTATAATCATACTGGTATTGTTATCCATGTATGCTTTCATTTTTGTTTTCTGCTGAAATGGCTGCGTATTATATGTCGGATTTGCATTAACTTGAGATCTCTTAAAAGTATGGCTTTATCATACTCAAATCAGAAGATATTCTTGGAGTGAATATTCTACATGAATTATCTTTCTGTTACAAAATGCCACATGTTTTGGGGATTTTGCTGCTCCACAGAGGAGCCAGTATCTTAGATTGACCAATTATCACCAGCGACAATGTCAAGAATTGGATTATCAATTTTAATTGATTTATTTTGATAGATTATGATTATTATATAGGGTGTGATTTATTTACAAAAATGTATCCTACAGTCAAGAATATGAAAATAAATATTATTTGTATAAAAAATTGAATGCATTTGTTTAAATTTAACTGAATAGCAAAAGCACTCCAGTTGTATTTTTCAATGGTCCCCATCTAGTTGTAAGACATCAACTTTTGCAGGCAATTGGTCTGTTAACAATAGGGCAGATTTTCAAAAGAATAGTTTAGGTAATAGCCCTCTTCAATAGACCCTACCACCTTTTGGCAAATCGAAGAAGTTTGGATATATTGGTCAGATTGATGATGAGTCATTCGTTGTAAGTAATAATGTGTCCAAGCAAAAATGGGATTAACTTTTTGCTTATTTTGAGAAAAAATACAACCAATGACACCATCAATCTAGCCAATATATCATAGTTTACTTGATGTACCAAAAGCTGGCAGGGTTTATTAGAAAGAACTGTTAAGATTCATGGTGTTGTTAAATTGAAGCTTATTCCAGTTAGCAAGCTGTTTTATCTGATCACATTGGGAAATTAAATATGATTTAGTTCCGGGCTATTGTTACAAGAACATTGGGATTTCAATATAGCTTCGGAAGCTACTTGTCGAGGCATTAACCTGACAATGTCCTCTATTACAAAGGGAATTGTAAATTGTTACAGATACTGAATGCCAACTACCTTTTAGAGGGACACAAGTCAAGAAAATTGGTGGTTATAACAAAAGGTCACCATTTATTGGTGACAATATGTCACCATTAAATGGATTTGTAAAAATGGATATATCGAGGCACATGGCCCTGTAAATTGTTACAGATACTGAATGCCAACTACCTTTTAGTGGTTCACAAATCAAATAAATTGGTGGTTATAACAATAGGTCGCAATATTGGTGACATATTGTCACCATTTATTGGATTTGTAAAAATGGATATATCGGGGCACATGGCTCTGTAAACACTGGTTGTCTATAAAGGTAATATCAGATCTAGCAAGATGGCACTCTCTAGTCTCAAAGTACTTGACAGAAAATTCAGGATGTTTGACTGAGTTGTCAACAACTTTAAGTTACTGCCTTGTGTAAAGATGTAAATAAGTAATAGATACAATAAACATTAAACATATATGTTTTATAAAATATAACTTATTTATTGAATATTTTCAATGAAGCATCAACACATTTCTATAACAACACTGACAACTTTTTAGTTGATCAGTAAATAAATATACAAGCTGACAAAATGACTGCCCATTCAATTCAACATGACTGCCATTCAATTCAACATGCAATTCCTGCTTTACATCAATGGATACAGAGATAATAATATTTCATTTACCAATCAATTAGATACTTAAATAAAACTGAAGTAAAATTGAAAAATTAATCTTCAAGTTGGGTAAATTTACACACTAAATTATCATCAAGTTAAAGATGGTGTTCAATTATCATAAGTTGAGGAAGAACAGGGTTAAAAACATTAGAGCAAGGGGTAAATGATGATTTTGTTAGCCACGAGTGTCAACATTTTGAACATTCAAGTGAAAGAAAAAAATCATCATTTTAAAATTTCATGAGGGAAGGGGGAAACAAAATTATTTTTTCCAGAACTGCTGATAATTGGACATCATCCTTTACTTGACTGTTGTTCACTTAAAGTGATACTCTGACATGGAGAAAACACAATTGTGATATCTTTTGAAATCATGGATTTTGTCAGATTGTAATTATATTGGAAAATACATGCAATCAACAGATAAGAGATGATTACTTTACATATATGGGGTTTAAAATCCTTCATTTTACATTTTGAAATGTTTTTTTCTGATATTCCTGAAATTTAGTTACATAAAATCATGTTTGAGAAATGCATTTTTGTAGGAAACCCTCATTCCAAAAAATCGAATGCCTTAGTGCTAGAATGCTTATAAATAAATGAAATTGGACTGTAAAATGCCATATTTTTCAAATTAAGAATGATTCACTTTGAAAATTGCCATGTACATGTACACGCCCGGTGATCGTGAAAATGGGACGGAGGGGGGAGCAGGCAATTTCCGCTAGAAAATTCAACAAATCTGGTAAAATTATTTTTTCAAGACAGAGTTTACGATTTAATTGCAAGTTGAATAAGCGCACGGTATGATAAAAATATGTTAGGTATTCTAGGATTATTTTTCAACCGATACTCTTTTAAGATATTAAAGATCTATTAAAAAAGGCGCAATGCAACCAACGTGCAAAAGTCAAAGTTTTTGCTATAAATCAAGCAACAATGGACTACACGACCTGTAATAAATACTTGTAAGTGATGTTATCATAACTAAATTAATGTCATTGCTGAATTTATAAAATAAGTTTCCATACGTAAAATAAAAAATAATCGAAAATAATTAAAATGGGACGGAGGGGGGAGGGGACGGAGGGGGGGAGTAATAATTCTATAAAGTGAAGCAACTTCACACGAATTCTTGTATTTGAAAAATGAACTCATTAACTTAGTAAGAAACTGGATGATATACCCCTGGAGACTTAAAAATGGGGACATTTGGAGTGAAAGGACTTAAAGTCGCGAAACATCTCTAATCATGTATTATATACATATTGCTCCCCGAAAAATCCCAGAAAACCCCAGAAAAATCCCAGAAAACCTAACATATTCTACCATACCGTGCGCCTATCCATTTAGCAATTCAATAGTAAACTTTTTTCTTGAAAAAATAAATCTTCCAGATTTGTTGAATTTCCTAGCAGAAATTGCCTGCTCCCCCCCTCCGTCCCATATTCACGATCACCGGGCGTGATGTAAATGCCTTGAATTCTGACCAATGTCACTGAATGTAACTTGATGACAATGAAATCTATTTAAGTACCCTAATCTAACTGTTTTCCAGTTCTAAACATCAATCTCGACAATATATAACATAAAAGAATGAATTCAACCAAAACAATGAACTTAAGTCATTTCAATGCATTCATCACTAAAATTTAATTTCTGAATAAATATACGTTGTCACAAATATTGTATAAAACAAATTGTGCACAATATGTTCAATTAGAAATAATAAAATCCATAATTTTGATATACTGATATCAAATTCTTTTCAATGTTGACGCAATGTTGAAACCAGAAACCATATTTCAAATAATAATATTTATTAATTAAAATCCAAATTCTGAGTTCAAAAGAATAATGATGAAAATACATTGATATCAACCTATATTCATGATGTCCTATAAAACAGGAAAATCAGACTGCAAATTGTGAATGCTAATATGCAATGTAAGGTCCTTATTGCTTACAACCTGGTAGCATGTGGGACATGACGTGAATGGAATATCCAGTCTTTTAGTCATCTTCATTTCATTAAGATGTTTACCCATGTAAGTTAGATACAATTCCTGCTGCTTGGAAATATCTGGTAAAAGCACTAACAGTTCGGGAAAAATAATCCAGAATTTCTCATCACCAAACATTTCTCTGCATTGTTCATAGTAAGAGTCACTAGTGAGGTTGTCCTGTCGGAATTGTTTAGAGATAGACATGAACTCATTGAGTTTGTCCTGACTATTGTTGAAGGCCCCTTGGATCATATTAATCAGAGAGAAATTCCTCTGTTGAAAATCCCCAGTTTGAGCGTATGTGTACACAGGTGGTATGGCTGAAGCAGTAGGATTAGGGGCAAATTTTGGGGCAATGTTTTCAATATTATTAACTGAAGGTGAAGAGTCAGCCACAAGACCAGGGGGTGGTTTATTAAGTCCAGGTGGTGCGTTAGACTTTGTTAGACCAGGGGGCTTGTTTAAACCTGGAGGGGGAGTCTTAGTGTCAGCAACACTACCAAACCCAGGGGGGCCACTGGCCAGCTTGTTAGTACTTGGGATAAAGCCAGGGGGCATTTTGCTCATAGTATTTGCTATAGGCTTGAGGGCAGCAGTAGGTGCCAATGTTGGGAAATCATCTTGGATGTTGAACTCGATAGGATTTTGAATATCTTTTTCATCTTCACTATCTTCCGATTCTATGTTCTCAATGACCAAAGTTTCATTCTTATCAGTGAATGTAACAGATTTCTTCTCAGTTATATTCACCTTTTCATCAATTTCATCTTTGACTTCCCCATTTACAGCACTGCCACCAGGGATATTAGCAACAGGTGCCTGTTTCTTCTTCTTTTTATTCTTCTTCTTTTTAGATTTTGGCTCAGTTTTGGTTGGGGGTTCAACAACTACTGGCTTTGGGGGTTCAACTTCAAATGTTTCCTCAACACTATGGAAACTATCATCACTGTCACTGTTGTCGTCTTTCTCCAGTAATAGTTTCTGTAGCTTCAGCTGCTGTTCTTGCTGATGACTTAGCTCAGGTTTATTTTTACCCTTCTTTGGTGCTGCTTTTTTGCCCTTGGACTTCACTTTCGTGAAATCTTCACTCTGTGTTAGATTGTCCAAGTCGAGTTTTCCTTTGTGACCCCAAGATGGCACTGGTCCTGAAGATGGCCCATTACCTAGAGTTGGGAAATCATCACTAGGGCCTAATGATGGATTGCCATTGAGGCTGGGGAAATCATCACTTGGGACAGAGGGTGCCTTGGCTTCCTGTTTAGCAGGTTTATTGGGCTTACTTTTCATGCCAGGAGGGGGTTGTTTTGTGGATTTACCTCCAAGCGCTGGGAAATCATCACTTGGAGCAGAAGATTTCTTGGGTTCCTGGTTAGCAGGCTTATTGGGCTTACTTTTCATGCCAGGAGGGGGCTGTTTGGTCGGTTTACCTCCAAGCGTTGGGAAGTCATCGTCTGGACTTTGAGCCTTTGTAGTGATGACAGCTTGTGCATCAGCTGGAGCAGTAGGTTTACTCAGCCCAGGAGGGGATGGCTTGCTTTCAGCTTTAGGTTGTTGTACACTAGCTGTAGCACTTACATACCCAGAATGAACTGGTGCAGATTGCGGCATGTTCTTTTTCTTTTTAGAGCCCCCCAATGATGGGAAATCCTCTTTGGACATTGCAACAGATTTTTTGGCACTTTTAGGGGCTGCTTTCATATCTGATGGTTTCTCAGTGATCATATTGACGTTAGAGGAAAGAACAGGTATGGGGGCCTCAGCTGGGGCAAGTAAATCAGCTCCCATAGATTTCAGCGATAGATTACGAAACTTAGTACCAGTGGGAACATTCTGGAAAGCATATCCAGATCCAAAATCTTTCGAATCACTATCATCATTGTGAGATGGGAAATCATTCAATGGTGCCTTCTTGGATTTATCCTTGGCAGCTGGCATACCTACTGGGGTTGCTTTAGGTGGTGGTGGCTTGGTCTTGGGAGCACTAACAACAGGTTTCACTGGGGGTTTGATTGCGGGTTGATATGGGAGTTTATTAGTGGGCTTTTTAGTAGGCATTAAGGCAGGGTACTCCTCTTCTACAGACACAGGCTTTTGTGCAGGGACAGCAACTGGTTTCTTTACTACTGCATAACTTTTACCAACAGGTTCAGGTTTATAGTTCTGATTGGAGGACACCAAGGCTGGATAGTCGAAATCTTCTTCGGTGTTTTTATTAGTTTTCTGACTAGACCTTGATGATGCACCATTCTCAGCATTTTTTGATTGCTTAGCTTGTTTCCCTATTTTGCCTAAACTTGGGAAGTCATCAATAGGTTGGGGTGGTTGGGAAGCTTTCGCTGTTTTGCCTAGACTAGGGAAATCATCAATCGGTGGACGGGATTTAGGAACTTCACGCTTAGCAGGGATAGTTTTAACAGGTACATTTTTACTTGGTTGATTTTTCTTAGTTGTTGATCCTAGTGATGGATATTCATCAATACTTTTCATATTGTTACTACTTGTCCATTGCTTTGACACTTTACTATGTCTAGAGTTAACATAAGCATGGGAAGCACCTCCTCCTGACCCCCCAAGACCACCTAAGGCAGGAAATTCCTCGGGGGCCATACTGCCACTTTGTACAGACTGATGGCTCCCCAAGGCCAATCTCTGTGCCATGCCTGATGTTAAGCCATCTCCGTCTTGCTGTGCCTCATCGTCAACATCCTCATACATCTTGCCATCAAGACCAGGGAAGTCAGACTCACGTGGGGGTTCCTGTTGCTCATTTTGTTTTTGTTTCTTGGGTTTTGAGACCTGGGGGACTGTCTTGATTGCAGTGGCAGACTTGGAGTCAGTGAGGGATGCTGCGATTGCCTGAGCTGTAGCTCCATCATCATCAGCAGCAGCAGCATGTCTGGAATAAGCATCATCAGTGTTTACTATGTTTCATAAACAAGTTTTGTGTTCATTCTTCTACCAAAAAAAATCTCATTGAGAAAAACTTTCAATCTTAAGATGATTTATGATACAAAAAAACAAGGCATTTACATACAAAATGTCACCAATTGTCATTTGATACAGAAACCAGAATCCAACCACCAAACACCGACCAATGCCACAAAATATGTTGGAGACTATAACAGTGAAGTGGTGACATAAAATTACATTGTACAGTTTGTAATTTCATTGAAAATGTCTGTTATATTTACCTGTCTTTATATCTTCCTTTTCCCCTACCATAGCCTCCCCTCTGTCTGGACTCTTCCTGAACTTCCTCATAATCAGCCCCTGTTACGACACCTCCTAGGAAAACAGAGCATGCTATAATAATCACATGTTTGAAAATGAAACAAAGCATGCAGAACATTATTCAAATGCAGTACGTAGGTTGCCAGTGATCTCAATGCAAAATTAAAGGGTGATGCAACGACCTGAGGTTTTGAAAACTGGTCCACCTAATACAGGGTGTTCAAAAAAAAAAACGCAACCCAAGGAAATCGCTATATCTTGGAAAATACTCATCCAATTATGTTCATATTTTCAGGAAAGAAAGAAGAGACTGTGTATGTATAGCCCCTTTTGTTAGTTATTTGTAAAACATGATGTCTTGGACACTTGCTCAAAATACAGTTGTACTAGCAAAATATGAAAAACACGAATGGAAAATCACTATATCTTGGAAAATACTAATTCAATTATGTTCATTTTTTCAGGAAAAGAAAGAAGAGACTGTGTATGTATAGCTCCTGTTGTCAGTAAGTTGTAAAACATGATGCCTTGGACACCTGCTCAAATGACAGTTGTTCTAGGAAAACACGAAAACGCAGTCAGAGGTGACAGCCACAGCAATAAAACCAAATAATTTTCTAACCATGGTGTTTTGGCACTTCAGATTTGGCACAAATTATCCTCATTCAATGTGTGGTGAATTTGTGGAGTTTCATCAAAATCACTTCAGGGACTTTACAGTCATGGTCAAAATGCCTTCTTAAGTCTCCCTGAACCAGGGCGTTTGACTGCGATTTGAAAGCATTTCAACCACGACTGTAAAGTCCCTGGAGTGATTTTGATTTCACGCTACAGATTTACCAAACAGTGAATGAAGATGATTTGTGCCAAATTTGAAGAGCCAAAACACTATGGTTAGAAAGTTATTTAACTTTTTTGAGGTTGCAGTCACCACTGACTGCGTTTTTCGTATTTTCCTAGTACAATTGTCTCTTGAGCAGGTGTCCAAGGCATCATGTTTTACAACTAACCATTTACAGGAGCTATACATACATTTCCTGATAATATGAACGTAATTGAACCAGTATTTATCAAGATATAGCGATTTCTTTGGGTTGCGTTTTTGTTTGAACACCCTGTAACACATTTGCACCTACTTGTAAATAGACGTTCTCTCGCCATATTTGCTCTGATTTTAAAAAAGAATTTCATAAAGCTGATGACAAATATGCAATCACTTAAGAATGAAAGAATCATGAACAGAAACTGGCATATTTTGAGAAAATTTACAAACAATTTTGAACTCATAAAATCAATCCACATTTAGCATTAGCATGCAATACTACCATAGCAAAACCTGTTAAGTGGAACACCTCTGTAAGTGGAACACTTTTCAGAGTTCCAAGACTATCTGACTTAATGTTAACTGAACCTCTGTAAGTGGAACATCTCCGAAGTGAAAAGAAAAGTGCACTGAAATACTGAACGCTAATGCACTAAAATACCGAACATCCGGTACATCCGGGGACTTCTAGTAAGGGTGAAATGAAAGTAAAGTAATTTTTTTAGATTAATGGTTCATTTCGACTAGCTAAAACAGTTTTAAAGCGAAAGAATATCAGAAAACATTGGAAAATGAAATAAGACATGAGAAAGGTAAGCGATTTGCGTCAAAATAAGATAAGAAAGGGTGATTTTTAGCAAATTAATTTTTTTTAAAAACATCGATGTTTTGTTTCAGACATCGATGCATCGCCAGAATCAGCTTTGGCGATGTATATCGCGATGTATCGATTAATCGCGACAACACTACATTTGATGTAAGATAATCTACCTCTATTGCCTCTCCCTCTGGGCCCCCTTGATGCATTATCTCTAGGAGCTAGATTAATCTCTATATCTATGGTCCTGGCCTGCTTATTCTGACTCTTGCTGTGTCGATGTTTGGAAGAAATATGTGCCTTCAGGTCGATCTCTGTCTTGAAGGCATGGGTAAATTCTTCATGTAGACATTCCTCAAAGTCACACAGATAATGCTGATCCTTGAAATGCTGCTTTAACACATCATAATCACTAGAAGAGAAAATTATTTTTCTAAATATCAGAGCCAAATTTCCCACTTTTTGAATGGGCTATGTCCTACATGTGACATGAAAATAATAAGATGTCATATTTGCAAGTCAAGAGTGTGACAGTATATAATGCATAGTGACATGTATTCTAAAATTACTTCATACAAATTAGTTATTTAGTCATACTCACCCATAGTATTGATTAGTGATGCCATCAGCATCGCAGAAGTGGCAGAAATAATGATCCCGTCTAAGATGCCGCAACAATTCATCATTATCCAAGAAACGCTCATCGCAGAACTCACACAGAGGATGACCTTTGTGTGACGAGTCATCTGGGTCTCCTTTACGACGATGCTGTGCTAGATCTGGTCTCGAGTAAAACTTTCTCTCATGCGTAAACATCTGAAAAATAATTTTGTATTTATATTAAAATTGTCTCCCAAGCACATAATGATAATACAATGCAATTTGAAAGATAGTGATTTTGACATCACTTTCTTATTTTTCCCCAATTGTGGTCGAGGATATATACACGGGGTACCATCGAATAATTTTGGCAACGTACCGGAGAACGACATTTTACTAAGAAATGGCAATAATTTAGCACAATATATTTTTTAACTAGAGTTCTATTTTGATTTTGACAAAAGTAAGTATTCCATGCAATAACTATTTCATTCATGAGTTTGTAGGAATTCTGTTGGAACCCAGTTCTGATCAAGTACGAAGTTATTGAAATCGGCGCAGACGGACTTTACTCCGAAAGATGGTTTTTCGATTATAACTTTTCACAACATTTAAGTATAGACTTTTGAAAAAAGTACAGAATAGTCCTTATACTATTGAATAATTCTGTTATTTCTGATTCACACGACTCTGATTTGTTTAATTAAAAAAAAGTTTTAAAAATATAACTTAGGAACGTAACCGGAGCTGGGAACGTAACCGGAGCAGATCAGTTGAATTATTTAATCAAAAAAATTAAAATATATGATTTAAAGCACATATACTAATTTAAAAACATACGGGATTGTTCGAATGCGTATTTATTACATTTTATTTAAAGAAAAAAAAATTATCCATTGTGAAAAATTAAATTTGGTATTTACCATGCATAAGTGCACTTACCTTAGAAAGACTATCACACATAGAACAATCATTGTATGGAGAATGAAGTGATTAAATGTAGTAAGCAAATAATTCCATTTGATTTCACCCATTGTATTTTTTCAGCGAACTATTAGAACCCACTCTGTTATACTAATTTCTAATTAATTTCTAATTTATACTAATTGCCATGCATTGATTTTCCTGTAAGTGAAGGGTAATAAATGCTCATTTTAACATTCATATGTGTTTGTAAATAATATATATGCTTTAAATCATATATTTTGTTTTTTTAAATTATATAATTCAACTGATCTGCTCCGGTTACGTTCCCAGCTCCGGTTACGTTCCTAAGTAATATTTTTAAAACTTTTTTTTTAATTAAACAAATCAGAGTCGTGTGAATCAGAAATAACAGAATTATTCAATAGTATAAGGACTATTCTGTACTTTTTTCAAAAGTCTATACTTAAATGTTGTAAAAAGTTATAATCGAAAAACCATCTTTCGGAATAAAGTCCGACTGCGCCAATTTCAATAACTTCGTACTTGATCAGAACTGGGTTCCAACAGAATTCCTACAAACTCATGAATGAAATAGCCATTGCATGGAATACTTACTTTTGTCAAAATCAAAGTAGAACTCTAGTTAAAAAATATATTGTGCTAAATTATTGCCATTTCTTAGTAAAATGTCGTTCTCCGGTACGTTGCCAAAATTATTCGATGGTACCCCGTGATATATAAACTAGGATATGTTAACACCTTATTTTACATGCTAGTTTTCAGGTTATTTTGTTACTACTGAATACATTGCCATATATTGCTCATGAGTTAAAGGTCAAAGAATTTATATGATAATACATGTATTATGAATCTTGATGCCTATCCATACTGGTCATAAAACATACACCATGTACTTGTAAATTTAACATTTATTACACAGGGCCTTTAACAAGCAATAAACAAGATCATCATGTCAATGTAAATAGCAAGTAATCATTTCAGAAGATATAAGAAGTGGTTTATTACCTTGAGATGCTTTGTGCAGATGTCGCAGTTATACATTGAATGCTCTTTTCGCACATGATCAACCAGGTTGCGGAATCCTCGATCTGGTTTCCTGTCAACACAAACAGGACATTTGTGCTGCAGTAACTCGTAATAAGCATTCTGAATATCCTCATTCTCATAGTAGATGCTGTGTTTCCGATTCACAAGAAAGTGGTTAGTCAACACTTTGTTGAACTCTTCAAACTTTCGGATAAATACAACCTGCAAAGACAAATATGAAATTAGATTAATATATATTACACAGTCATTAGTCTGAAATTATTACATTATATGAAGCTTTCTTTTTCAGAACACATTCAAACTAATTTGATTTGATATAAATTTGTTCCAATCCAATGATGTACCCATGTCATGTTTTTATTTACAAAAACAGAATACAGTAGGTACTAGTTCATTGAATGGCAGCAATATTAGTATTACTGTACAGTAAAATTTTAAATGTTTGAAACTACTTTGAATTTAAAAAATAAGCAATCAAATGACTTTATTGCAGTATATAAAAAATAGAAACATATGTACTTGTCCTAACTTTTGTATAGGACAAGTTCAGATAGTTATATATAATGTGCGGTAAAGCTGTGGCCTTTTGTAATTTAGGGAATTTCAACCATGATAATTTTTCAGAAAATAACATGGCAGAGAAGCCAGAGAGCATTAAAATATAGGAGGCCATAGCTATGATAGCTAAACTACAAAACAGACTAAAATATACAAAAGTTAGGACATGTATAAATGTTTCTATTTTTACATATACTGTTTCAATATCTTTGATTGCTTATTTTTTAAATTCAAAGTACATGTAGTTCCAAATTACTTCCTGCGAAAGCTATTTGGATTTTGATATAATAGCTTTCCCAAGGAGCATTCGGACAGCTGAATGATTGTGACCTTTGAAATCGAATTAAGTCGATCCGCGGCTTACTTTTGGTCTCTAACTGTGTCTTACATCAGTATCATCAATCCGTGTAATTATTAGAGCGCTGAAATACTTCTTTTTTTGATCAAAACTTGTAAATTGTTCATCGAGTGAATGTTTTTTAGACCTATTTCCAACATGGCGGTTTGCTAGGAGCGAGATACGCAACGAACGAAATGAATTTTGAGAATTAGTTAGGTTCTGACAACCTCCGGAGATGTACGAAAATGTCCGAGCAGAAAACGCCATATTGGAATTTGGCAGTAAAAACATTCACTCGACTAACAATTACAAGTCTTGATCGAAAAGGAAGTACTTCAGCGCTCCAATACTTACACGGATTGATGATACTGATGTAAGACACAGTTAGAGACCAAAAGTAAGCCGCGGATCGACTTAATTCGATTTCAAAGGTCACTATTAATTAGCTGTTCACTTCCCCGTTTGAGAGCCATAAGTTTCAAAATCTAACATGGCTCTCGAAGTGAGTAAGTTCCAACCATTTAAATCATGTAGTTGCTTTTAGGCACTTTCAATCCTTTTCTTGGGTGTTTATTCTGAAGCACTTGAAAACAACACTTACGGGCCTTTAAAGAGAGGGAGACTTTGTTTTTTACACACCCCACTTTCAAATAAACATACATTAGCGAAAAACTCCAGCCTGATCCCCGGTACGGTACCTGTTGCATAATAACTCCTGCTGAATTTGAATCCAATTTCAAAATCTGCCGGCAGTATTGTAGATTATTCTAACCAAATCATATGTTGCGTAAATCACACTTAACTGTGTACATTTGATAAAATTGATAAGAAAATCCTGGGGCGGCAAGAAAGCGATAGTGACACGGCAAATTATAACAATCAAAATGAAAGTGAAAATGTAAACGTCCTTTCTATTGTGTAATGTTCATTAAACAAATGCTAACATTCACCTCATTTATGAACACATAGATACTTACTTTGGGTAAATCAGCCCTACAGATAGCACAGTACATTTGATCACACAGCACCCTCATTCTGGTGGAGCATTTGTAGCATACAACATGATCACACCTCCCAATGGCATATATTGAGACTGCTGAACTGCACACTGGACACAGATCTTCTCCACTTTCAGATATCCTTCTTGACACTCGCTTAGACATTGTTTTGCTGTAAAATTATTGTAAATCTGTAAAGAAATTTCAACTCATGGTGAGGTGGATTTTAAGAAGTGCCCGGATGTTACATTTAGTTGTGAAATTTTGACGTCACCATAATATGCGTAGTTTTGATATGTTTGCAAATCTGTCATTGAAGTGGTTATCAGATCTGATAATCAGTTGATCGATTGTTGAAATATCATTGATCTTTGTAAATAGAATTTGCCAATGTTTCATTGCTTTTGATTCCTATAATTTGTTAAAAACAATAAGCACATGAATCCATGACGTATTTCACAAGAGTCATCAAAATTCAATATGGACGGACCAAGTGCATTTGGTGCTGGAATGACAGGGGGTGCTTTTGATCCCATAGCTTTTATCAAGAAACCTCAGGTCATACTCAGGCTAGTTAGTTGGGTAAGTAAACAGTTAGTTCACCTTTCTTCAAAATTTGCAAGCGATTTGTTCGTTGAATGACGAGTTATATGAAGTTTATTGAGTCCTACTTATGATAATTTTCTGACCTTCGTTCGTTGTTCATAGAAAAATCGAACATTTCAAAACGAAAGTGCAAATGACCGATAAAATGCATATCCAAAAACTGCTTTAGAATGTGATTACAAATATTACAGTCTGTTACACTGCTTCAAAGGCAAGCAGTTAAACCTGAAATATAAGAAATCTAAATAATATTATGCAATAATATATAGAAAAATATATTCATATTGCACACGAATGACATTTGTATATGTTGGATTGCTTGTAAATTGGCTCATAAACTCTGTAACCTCTTATATTTTGATGCTTCTCTACCATGTTAATTCTCAAAAAAATAACATGGCAGACGGACCTCAAATTACAAGAGGGCACAGGCATATTGCACTAAACACTGAATAATCTGAAATATACAAATGTCATTCGTGTGCAATATGAATATATTTTTCTATATATTACGGCACAATGGTCTATGGATTTCTTAATTTTCAGGTTCAACTGCTTGCCTTTGAAGCAGTGTAACAGACTGTAGAGCTATATTTTAACAAAACAATGAACTTTGAAAGTATCTTCCATCATTTAGTCTTACAAAATCGGTGATTCATTGTCAGCTGCGGATGGTGAAAATACTGTAACTGGGCTATAAAGCTGATTATATACACTACAGGTTATGAAAATAAAATTCCTCGTGGCTTTTGCGCATGTGTTTTGCGATCTGATTGATCCATTTGTAAAAATAAGGCGAAGCTCATTAGATTTTACAAATTTTGCAAATGGTTAATTTCATTTGCAAAGTATTATCTGGCCAGAATAGCAAGATTGAGGCACATGCTATCTATTGCAAGACTTACGCCTGCCACAACCGTCGCCATGTTAATCAGTGTTTTTAAGTAGCGCAAGGATCCTGCCATGACCGTGGTAGTGTTATCGTGTAAGCCTGGTATAACTGTGACAGGCTGGTATAACCGTGACAATGCTGTATTATATTGCAAGGCCTGTCATGACCCTGGAAGTGTTATCGTGGAAGCCTGACGCAACCATAGCCTTTATTGCGATTTATAAGCGAATGTGAATATTAATGTACATGTATTGTAGTAATTTTGATTTTGGCATGATTAAGGTAGTTAAACACCATGATCATAGTATTGAACTGTTTAATTGTAATGACGATCACTTAAAATTGTTAAGGATATTCCTGGCATTAATGTCATACATATTTACTAGTCATTGCAATACATTTTAATGGTCATAGTAGGACTAAGCCTAAATTTCTATATTACCACCCTCATACCTGGCCTTGCAATACTATATTACATTGTCACGGTCATACCAGGCTTTGCGATCCCATAATACATTGTCACGGTCATGCCAGGTTTTGAAATACACATTGTCACGGTCACTTATAGCAATCATAAATTTCTACATTACCACTCTCATACCTGAACTTGCAATACAATACTACATTGTCACGGTCATGCCAGGCCTTGTAGAACTATATAACATTGTCACGGTCATGCCAGGCCTTGCAGTACTACAGTATATTACATTGTCACGGTCATGGCAGGCATTGCAATATAATACAGCATTGTCGCGGTTATACCAGGCTTTCACGATAACATTACCACGGTCATGGCAGGATCCTGGCGCTACTTAAAATCACTGAATAACATGGTGACGGTTACGCCAGGCGTTGGTCTTGCAACAGATAGGGTCTCGATTGAGGTTTGAATTATTTTTCCCAATAATCATTTAAGGCGTTATCTCAGGCTTTTATGACTGCCGAGTTTGGATAATTATGATAAAGATGAATATTATTTATACTAAGATACCTGCAGTGGAACCTAGAGGTATAGATTTGTAATGACTATCTCTATTGACTTGACAAGTAGACTCTAAAAAGCCATTCTGTTATACCTGTATAACCAGGGTTTTTTCTCTATGCCATGTTTTTTTTAAAATTTTAAATAAATACATTTAGAAAGTGAATTAATTTTCAATCTACATTTTTATTTTCAGTTCTTTGCCATCATCATTTTTGGGTGTATATCAAGCCAAGCGTGGCTTTATGGAATTTGTCTGTATGGGGGAGATGCCAATGCCTGTAGCTATGGCTTGGGCATAGCTGTCATTGCATTCCTGATATGTATGGCCTTCATTGCAATTGACGCCCTCTATGAACATAGCCCCATATTTAGCAGTGTGCAAAATAGGAAATATGCTGTTATAGCAGACATGGGCACTTCTGGTAAGTTGCTTCTACTGAAAAACTATCTGTTAAAATATTTTTAGTCAAATGTCACAGGAGGAGAAGAGTAGCTGTGTACACAAAAACTCATAGAGTGTGACTTGGAAGACCAAACACAAAAATTCAAGTGTTGACATTGGTATAATAGACTATAATCAAATGAGTAGGAGGTTTCCCAAAATAGAATATGCCATCAAGTTTGCATGGTATATGGTATACTTAAGGGTATTTCACTTTTCAACTTTTTTTTCAAATCAAGGTTTTGCCCAGTTGGCCTTCCTGATAAAGGAAAGCGAGCAAAAAAAATTCAACCAAATCCGTTGACATTTAGACCTCTTACCACACTTTTTGATGCCCATTCGCTACCATGTTAATATTATTAATAATCGTCTAAAAATTGCAGAAAGTGTCATTTTGATCATGTTTGAGTGCAACCTTTGAATGCAACCTTTGATTTTTGGTGGTGACATATTGTTATGGTCTCCGTTTTTTACGGCGGTTGGTGGTTATGTTTTTCAAAATCATCTGTAAGTTTTCATAAGTTTAAGTCTGACTTTATATCTTAAGATTTGACCTTCAATGACCTTTTCAAGGTCAAAAAGGTCTATTTTCAACTTGCTTCAAATTGACCAATTTTTTTTCAAAATCATCTACAAATTATCAGAAGTTCAAATCTGACTTTTGATTTGAGATTTGACCTTCAATTACCTCCTCAAGTTAAAAAAAAGTCAGAAAGGTCTCAACTGCTTTCAACTTGCTTCAAATTGACCAATTTATTCATAATCACCTACAAGTTCTCAAAATTTCATATCTGACGATAGATTTGACCTTCAATGAAAATTTCAAGGTCAAAAAATATGATATGACCTTGCTTCAAATTGACCAATCTTTTTCTCGAAATCATGTACTAGTTGTCAGAAGTTAAAATCTGACTTGAGATTGAACTCATGATATTATGAGCAACTTGGTGGTGACATTTTGTCATGTTAATGCCTTGTTCACTCTTTTATTCCAAAAAGAGTAATATAATAAAAAAGTAACATAATTTAAAATATGTCTCTGACATCCGTGCAATTGGTGTCTACAATTTTTTCTTTCTGGATGTACAGTATGTTTTTCTTATATTTTCAGCACTCTGGACATTCCTGTATTTCGTCTCATTTTGCTATCTAACTAATAAATGGACGACCTTCGACCGAAGCATATATGATAGAATACCAAAGACTGGAGGTTTACCTGGCCAGAGTGGTGTACAGGCAGCCATAGCTTTTACATTCTTTTCCATAGGAACTTTCGTAAGTATAACTATGGGAATTAATTATATCAGTAAAATCTCAAAATGTTTTAAATGAGCATGTAAATGAGTCGTACCATTGGTCAGGGTCAAATCATAGCAACACTAGTGCATCACTGTATTACTGGAAGTAGCACGAAAGTAGCGCAGGGCTTCAGTGCCGGTATTGAAATCAGATGCTGGATGCCGTATAAAGACAATAGCATGTTAAGAAGACGCTATACCTTATCTCTCCCTCAATGAACCATAGCTGCACTCTGTTATTGCATTTTTCTTTTGTAAAACAACATAAATTGGCAAGAAATTTACTAAATTTTTTACCTGGAAGTGTTCAGTTCATTGCTCTTCAAATGCTCTTCAAAATAGAGGGCCAAAATGTAAAGATCGCTAAATATACGTTTTCTAACAGCTTAAAGGTGGAGTAGCCGGAAATATTAAGACAATTGAACATGTTGAACAACTAATATACAGTAAAACCTGTCCGATGGAATACCTCTCTGTAGGGAAAACCTATGAACAAGGAATGCTTTTCAAAAGAACCAAATATTTTTCCATTGACTTACATGTTAACGGACCCTCTCTGTAGGGAAAACCTGTGAACAGGGAATAAGGAACACTTTTTTGGGGCAAATTATGAAAATTCACCTGTGAACAAGGAATATGGAATAGTGGTGACACTGTATATTCCATTGTTTTTCAGAGGTGTGAAAGTCTTAAGCCAATATCTGAATATGAAAAGCTTGGATTAATATGAGTGAGATTAAGATATGCCAATTGTTTACATGATGGAGCATCCCACCCACTGTTAATTACCCTGATTTATTTTAAAACTAATACTAATCTGTTTGTTACTTCATATCATGACACTAATTCTTCCTTTCAAAAACCTAATTGCATCATATGAGTTGTGATAATCTAGGGACTGACACAATTGTTTTATGGAGATAATAGATAGTAAATAATGGTCATGTTGAGCCAAATCTCTTTAAATCTTTTACTGATCCAACTTCTAGATTAACAATGATATAAAATGGGGTAGATGAAACTTGAAATTCAGTTCTTAGCAATATATCTCTACACATCATATCAATAATTACATCAACTAGACATCATCAGACGCTAGCAGCAGCTAAAATCAAAATGGAGAGAACGTAACCAAGTATGGAGCCAGCATTTGTACAATCAATCAATGCATATACAAATATGCTTATTCGGCAAGTTTGAGTTTGCTGAAAGTGCGGCCCCTCTCTATAGGGAAAACCTCTGAACAAGGAAACTTTCCTTCAGTCCCAAGAGCATTCCCTGTTCGCAGGTTTTACTGTACATACTTTTTGTGGCTTGGATAAATGGCTATGAATCCCAAGTTCGAATGTGTCTCATCAACAATAGAGTGACAAGGATTATGTCAAGCGGAGTTCATAATTTTTGTGCAAATTTTCTTCTTAGATCGAAAAATTTCATTTTAATTCGATAAATTTTCATAGATCTAAAGGTAAGTCATGTGACACAAAAAACGACCATGTGACACAGAGTTCTGGATTAAGAAAAATTAATGTTAGCCAAAGTGGCTAACATTTTAAAAAATTATTAGCCAATTTTTATTTTATCAGCCACCCGGAAAATTTTGATATTTTTTCACATTTTTTTCATTTCCACTAGGACCGAAGTGAATCGATGACACGCCCAATATTTTTATACAATTGAACCGTACCTATGTATAATTCCCCATTGCGGGAATCTTTTACTAGTCGTGTCATCAGCACAGGACGGAAGTAAATATTGAAAAACTTAAAAATATTTTATCCCGACATAAAAGCATTTTTGAGATAGATAGAAGGAATGGATTACCGGGAAACTTTCGGCAGCTATTGGTAAGTTTACCACTAATGGATCTGTGGTCACGGTAGGATTTATTCGCCAAACTTGCGACTTATTTTGTAAAAATGTTCGCAACCCTTCACCAATTATTCGCAAATTGAGAGTGGCGAGCGTTAATTCGGAACTCTGATGTGACATAAAAACAATGATTCATTCGCCAGATGGCATAGTTAAAACGAGATCAATTTTACGACAAATGAAAACCTTTTAGCTCAGCTTGAATTTTGCTCTCGTAGTTGAACAAAACTGAAACTTCTTTCGTCGATATCGAGGTGAGTGATTTTTTCAGGCTCCAGTATTTTGAGTAAGTAAGTAAGTTCAGGTCATATCCATTCTTCGGGGCAGGTTTGAGGCACCAACGATTTATTTTGATGTTTATCTAAGGAATTATTCCCGGTATCTGGCTACTGCACCTTTAAACTTAAACTTCTCTCATTCGACATTCAGACTCTCTTTTAGTATGATAGTCGGAACTTGAGGCACATAAAGAAGGTCAAACGAGTGTCAGTATTAGAATAAAAGGTAAAGAATAAGGTTTTACATAACGAATCACATCTTTTGGTTTTCTTACTTTTCGCAGCACTACCGATCGGTACGAACTCGGGTGTATGTGATACCGGTATTGAAATTTGATGCCACTTGCAGCACTAAGCAACACCTTGTAAAACTTTTTTGTATGTTGAGAATTTTGTAAATAACTCTGTATGAGAGAACATATAATGGGCTTTTCATGGGGCTGATTCGCAATCCGATCCGGATAAATTTCATCGTGGTAATGATGCATTGTGGGATTAATCTTGAAATTTATCCTAACATTGATGAATTCAACCAATTTTTAATGTAATTTGGATAAGTCTTACGCTATAGATGCACTTAATATCCAGATCAATAATCTTAAATTTATCCTGAAAGATAAAATTCATCCAGATAAATTCTTGGATCTTACGAATTTACAGCCGCTGGTGATACCATGGTCTAATTTTCAGCTGTTGGTTTTTCCTAGATTCATATTGATTCCAAAATATTTTCAAGTAATTTATTGTGAAAACAAGTCTAATAGCAAAGCACGATTTAATATTTCTACTTAAAATTAATAACACACTTGGTCGACTCAACTCTTGATTATTGCATGATTTCAATATGTAGTTGTAGAGTTTGGCAATAACAATTTATATAATTGTATTTAGTCAACTCTAAATTATTGCATAATTTTGGCTGTTTAACAGTGAGCATGTATAGAATTCAGTAGGTCTGTGTTGTTAATACAATCTAATAATACAAGCTTCCTTGGTAATCAATACTCTCTCTCCTATTCAGTGCTAGAAATAATGATTTTCATTACCTCTTAGCTTTATATCGAATTCTCTCTATTCCTGTATCATAAGAAAAGATTTATGCTCGAATCATTATTTTTATTTCTAAGAGAAATATTTTGATGGTTAAGTTGAGTAATTTGTTTGATGTTTATTCAACGTAAAGAGGTGTTTATTAATTGTCCCTTGATTCACAATTTTCAGTCTTGATACAAGAAATTACTTTTTAACCTCATAGTAAGATGCGAAAGATTTAACAAGTAGGGCAAATATTTAACCATTTAGTTCCCTAGGCAGGATTGCCAAGGGGTTCACATTTTTAGAATTCTAGGGGAGTTCACATATGACCATTTTGGCCCAAAATCTCTTTGTCAGGGCGTTCGCTCGCCTCCTGAACCCTCCCCCCACCCTGGCTATAGGCCTGCTATTGTTCATAACACAGCAATATATTGGGAAGGATCTTCCTCGATCCTTGTTTAGCGTTTTTTCCATTTTTCAATAAGTAAATTATAAAAGGGAATAATGATTACCGGATTACTATTATGCCATTGGAAAAATAAATAGAGATGATCTTTTGAGTAATGTAAAGTTAAGTATCAATATATTCAATACACTTACATCGTAGCTAATTATTTGCAAAATTGAGCAATATCGAGCAATTGCATGACCCTTAGTCTAAATGTTCACCAGTTGGTGTAAGAAGTCTGGTCAGGCCTTATCAAAAAATTATGATATACTGAGGTAGTTTCATGATATGTGAGTGTAAACTTTTACATGTATTTTGTTGTAAAATTATGAGCTGACATTGTAAATACGAAAACTACCAAATCGTATTCCTTATATTAGATAGCTCATACGATTGCCTGTATTGACATACAAAAATCAATGTCCTATGTCAGTTTGTACATCATCTATATCCTGTAGAGGGGCAGATGATTTAAACCAAAAGTGAGTATAACTAGACATGTAAATTGAACAAGTTCAATTTAAGACTCCAGATTTCAGACTTTTTTTAAGCTGAGTCATCCAAATACTTGTAAGCTGAGTCATTCAGAATAAGCTGAGTCAGCTAGAATATAGACATTTAGACAACTCTTAAGAATGTTATCTTCGACTCCATTGGCTTAACATGGGGATATCATCATATCGACTTTTCGAGACTTCAAACCGCTATAACTATCTAATCAGAAGTTGGATCGAAATTTGGTTTAAAGATTCTGATTCCTGAGAAAATTCTACCCTTAATTCATAACTAATACGTTATTTGGAGAACTTTTTATTTTGACCTACTTTTCACACACCATATCTCAAAAGTGGGTCAAAATACTTTCTGACGGCAGAAGGCTAACACTATAAGCACACTCTTTGCTACCTGTATACAAAATTTCGAAGCAAATCATTAAAGTGTAATGTCAGAATCGCAAAAATAAGGAAAAACTAATTTTAAAGCTAGATAGCCTTCGAGGTCCCCTTCTTTTATAGGCTTTCAGAATGTTAAGCTGTACTCAGTTTATATCTGGTATTTTACACTTCAAAAAAATCTTTTTTCTCATTGACATAACATGGGGCACCAAATTTAGCGATTTTTGAGCTTTCAAAACGCCATAACTTCCGGACCGAAAGTCGGATTGAAATTTGTTTGCAGATTCAGATTCCTGAGAAAATTCTACCCTTTAATTCATAGCTCATATGTTAAATTTGGAGAACTTTTTATTTTGACCTACTTTTCGGACACCATATTTCAAAAGTGGGTCAAAATACTTTCTGACGACAAAAGGCTAACACTATTAGCACACTCTTTGCTACCTGC